AAAGACAAAGAAGGGTATTACATAATGGTAAGGGGTTCAATCAACAAGAAGAGCTAACTATACTAAATGTGTAGGCACCCAATACAGGAGGACCCAGATTCATAAAGCAAGTTCTTAGAGACCTACAAAGAGACTTAGACTCCCACACAATAATAGTGGGAGACTTTAACACTCTGCTGTCAATATTAGACAGATCAATGAGACAGAAAGTTAACAAGGATATTCAGGAGTTGAACTCATCTCTGGACAAGCAGACGTAATAGACATCTACAGAACTCTCCACACCAAATCAACAAATAAACATTCTTCTCAGTATCACATAGCACTTGTTCTAAAATTTACCACACAGTTGGAAGTAAAACACTCCTCAGCAAATGCAAAAGAACAGAAATCATACCAAACAGTCTCTCAGACCACAGTACAATCAAATTAGAACTCTAGATTAGGAAACTCATTCAAAACCACACAACTACATGGAAACTGAACAACCTTCTCCTGAATGACTACTGGGTAAATAACAAAATTAAGGCAGAAATACAGATGTTCTTTGAAACCCATGAGAACAAAGACACAACATACCAGAATCTCTGGGACACACCCAAAGCAGTTTTTAGAGGGAAGCTTATAACACTAAATGCCCATGGGAGAAAGTGGGAACAATCTAAAATCAACACCCTAACATCACAATTAAAAGAACAAGAGAAGCAAGAGCAAACCAATTTGAAAGCTAGCAGAATATAAGAAATAACTAAGATCAGAAAGGAAAACTGAAGGAGATAGAGACACAAAAAACCCTTCAAAAAAAATCAATGAATCTGTGAGCTGGCTTTTTAAAGAGATCAACAAAATAGATAGACTGCTAGCCAGACTAATAAAGAAGAAAAAGAGAGAAGAATCAAATAGACACAATAAAAATGATAAAGGGGATAATACCACTGACCCCACAGAAATACAAACTACTATCAGAGAATACTATAAACACCTCTATGCAAATACACTAGAAAATCTAGAAGAAATGGATAAATTCCTAGACACATACACTCTCTCAAGACTAAACAAGGAAGAAGTCAAATCCGTGAATAGACCAATAACAAGTTCTGAAATTGGGGCAGTAATAGCCTAACAATCAAAAAAAGCCCAGGACCAGAAGGATTCACAGCTGAATTCCACTAAAGGTACAAAGAGGAGTTGGTACCATTCCTTCTGAAACTATTCCAAACAATAGAAAAAGAGGGATTCCTTTCTAACTCATTTTATGAGGCTAGCATCACCCTGATACCAAAACCTGACTGAGACACAATAAAAAAAGAAATATCCCTGATGAACATCAATGCGAAAATCCTCAGTAAAATACTGGCAGACCTAATCCAGCAGCACATCAAAAAGCTTATCCACCATGATCAAGTCAGCTTCATCCTTGGGATGCAAGGCTGGTTCAACAAGCACAAATCAATACACGTAATCCATCACATAAACAGAACCAGTGACAAAAACCATATGATTATCTCGATAGATGCAGAAAAGGCTTTGATAAAATTCAACATTCCCTTCATGCTAAAAACACTCAATAAACTAGGTATTGATGAAACATATCTCAAAATAATAAGAGCTATTTATGACAAACCCATAGCCAATATCATACTAAATGGGCAAAAGCTAGAAGCATTCCCTTTGAAAACTAGCACAAGACAAGGATGCCCTCTCTCACCATTCCTATTTGACATAGTTTTGGAGGTTCTGGCAAGGGCAGTCAGGGAAGATTAAAAAATAATGAGTATTCGAATAGGAAGAGAGGAAGTCAAATTGTCTCTGTTTGCAGATGACATGATTGTATATTTAGAAACCCCATAGGTCTCAGCCCAAATCTCCTTAAGCTGATAAGCAATTTCAGCAGTCTCAGAATACAAAATCAATGTGCAAAAATCACAAGCATTCCTATACCCCAATAACAGACAGAGAAGACAGAGAGCCAAATCACGAGTGAACTCCCATTCAAAATTGTTACAAAGAGAATAAAATATCTAGGGAAACAACTTACAAGGGATAAGAAGGACCTCTTCAAAGAGAACTACAACAGCAGTTCAAGGAAATGAGAGAACACAAACAAATGGAAAAATATTCTATGCTCATGGATAGGAAGAATCTGTATTGTGAAAATAGCCATACTGCCCAAAGTAATTTTTAGATTCAATGCTATTCCCATCCAGCTACTACTGCCTTTCTTTACAGAATTAAAAAAAGCTACTTTAAATTTCATAAGGAACCAAAAAGAGCCCATATAGCCAAACAATCCTAAGCAAAAAGAATGAAGCTGGAGGCATCACTCTACCTGACTTCAAACTATACAAGGCCACCGTAACCAAAACAGTATGGTATTGGTAACAAAACAGATATATAGACCAATGAACTGGAACAGAGGCCTCATAAATAACACCACACATCTACAACCATCTGATCTTTGACAAACCTGACAAAAAAAAAGCAATGGGAAAAGGATTTCCTATTTAACAAATGGTGTTGGGTAAACTGGCTAGCCATATACAGAAAACTGAAGCTAGACCCCTTTCCTTATTAAAAAAATTAACTCCAGATGGATTAAAGCCTTAAATATAAGACCTAAAACCATTAAAACCCTAGAAGAAAACCTGGGCAATACCATTTAGGATATAGGCATGGGCAAAGACTTCATAACTAAAACACCAAAAGCAATGGCAATAAAAGCTAAAATTGATCTATCAGATCTAATTAAACTAAAGAGCTTCTGCACAGAAAAAGAAATTATCATCAGAGTGAACAGGCAACCTACAGAATGGGAGAAAATTTTTGCAATCTATCCATCTGACAAAGGGCTAATATCCAGAATCTACAAAGAACTTAAACAAATTTACAATAAAAAAACAAACAAATCCATCAAAAAGTGTGAGAAGGATATGAACAGACACTTCTCAAAAGAAGACATTTATGCGGCCAAGAAACATATGAACAAAAGCTCATTATCACTGGTCATTAGAGAAATGCAAATTAAAACTACAATAAGAACCATCTCACACCAGTTAGAATGGTGATCATTAAAAAGTGAGGAAACAGATGCTGGAGAGGATGTGAAGTAGGAACGCTTTTACACTGTTGGTGGGAATTGTAAATTAGGTCAACCATTATGGAAGACAGTGTGATGATTGCTCAAGAATCTAGAACCCGAAATACCATTTGACCCAGCAATCCCATTACTGGGTATATACTCAAAGGACTATAAATCATTCTGCTATAAAGACACATGTACACGTATGTTTAGTGCAGCACTATTTACAATAGCAAAGACTTGGAACCAACCTGAATGCCCATTAATGATAGAATGGATAAAGAAAATGTGGCACATATACACCATGGAATATACTATGCAGCCATAAAAAAGAATGAGTTCGTGTCCTTTGCAGGGACATGGATGAAGCTGGAAACCATCATTCTCAACAAACCAACACAGAGACATAAAACCAAACACTGCATGTTTCACTCATAAGTGTGAGTTGAATAATGAGAACACATGAACATAGGGAGGGGAATGTCACACACTGGGGCCTGTTGAGGGGTGGGAGACAATGGGAGGGAGAGCATTAGGAGAAATACCTAATGTAGATGACGGGTTGATGGGTGCAGCAAACCACCATAGTACATATATACCTATGTAACAAATCTGCACATTCTGCACATGTATCCAAGAACTTAAAAGTATAATGAAAAAAATGTTTCTGGGAAAGCTGGCTAGCCATATGTAGAAAATTGAAACTGGACCCCTTCCTTACTCCTTATACAAAAATTAACTCAAGATGGATTAAAGACTTAAATGTCAAACCCAAAACTATAAAAACCATGGGAAAAACATCTAGGCAATACCATTCATTCAGGACATAGGCACAGGCAAAGATTTAATGATGAAAACATCAAAAGCACTTGCAACCAAAGCAAAAATTGACAAACAGTATCTAATTAAGTAAAGAGCTTCTGTTCAGCAAAATAAAGTATCATCAGAGTCAACAGACAATCTACAGAATGGGAGAAAATTTCTGCTATCTACCCATCTGACAAAGGTCTAATATCCAGAATATACAAAGAACTTAAATTTACAAGGAAAAATAAGCAACCCTGTTAAAAAGTAGGCAAAACACATAGACACTTCTCAAAAGAAGACATTTATGCAGCCAACAAACATAAAAAAAGCTCAACGTCGCTGATCATTAGAGAAATACTAATCAAAACCACAATGAGATACCATCTCACACCAGTCAGATAGGTGATTGTTAAAAAGTCAAGAAACAAGAGATGCTGGTGAGGCTGTGGAGAAATAGGAATGCTTCTTTGCATTGTTGGTGGAAATGTAAATTAGTTCAACTATTGTGGAAGACAGTGTGGTGATTCCCCAAAGACCTAGAGGCAGAAATGCCATTTGACCCAGTAATCCCTTACTGGGTATATACCCCCAAAATAGAAATCATTCTATTATAAAAATATATGCACATGCATGTCATTGCTGTACTATTCACAACAGCAAAGACATGGAATCAATCCAAATGCCTATCAGTGATAGACTGGATAAAGAAAATGTGGTAAATATACACCATGGAATGCTATGCAGCCACAAAAAGGAATGAGATCATGTCCTTTGCAGGGACGTGGATGGAGCTGGAAGCCATTGTCTTCACCAAACTAACGCAGAAACAGAAAACCAAACACTGCACATTCTCACTTGTAAGTGGGAGCTGAGCAATGAGAATGCATAGACACAGGGAGCTACACACTGGGGAATGGTTCAGAACCAATTAGTGAAAAAGTCTAAGATGATGCATTCTTAGATATAAGAAGAGGGAAGAGATTTGAATAAATCAACAAAACAGAAGATGAAGCAGTTTCAATAAGGGCCTTGAACAAATTTAAAAAAGAGAGAAAAAGAAATAAATGTTAACATGAGGTAGTTATAGATCAATTACTTTAAGACTAATACATACCTCTGGAACTGAAGTTTCCATCAGAGACAGTGGAGGAGGAACACATCCACCATCCTGTGCAATTTCCACTGGTTGATAAATAACATCAGAAGGGTGTAGGTATAAGAATGGAGCAGAAGAGGCAGGAGACTAAAATACAAAACCATATTTCTAATTCAAATATGATTAGTTATTTCTGTTAAACCAAATGACTTACCCAACAGATGAGAGAAGTATCTGTTTTATATTTTCCTATTTTTTTTTTTAAATAGCACATAAGTATCTCAGCAACAGATTAGGACCGAATCTGCTATAAATTCCTATTGAGTAGATGTAGTTAAAGAATCCTATCACTGGTAAGCACTAAAACTTCTCAATAACTCAGAACCTCATATATAAATTCAGATAATAATTATGATTCTATTAGTATCACCAGTAAAGGTTGTAATAATGTGACCAATGGAATAAAATTGACATAAATGTCTGCTCTCAGCTCTGTTACTTCTAATGGAAGTGAGAAAATGTCATTAAACAATTTTTTTGGTGATAAACTATTTGTTACCAAAAGTTGGAAAATAGAATATTTATTTAGGAACTGAATAAAAACTGAAGCCAAATCTGAAGTAAAGCTAGAAAAATGCTAAATTTTCAAATAATACTAATAGTGAAAAAGGGTAAATTTTCATGTTTATACAGCACTCACTTATAAAATGCTTTCACTTATGCATTATCATTTGATATTCACAAAAATCATGTAAGGAAAATTACAAAAATATAGTATCATTACATCCATTTTACAAACAAAGAAACTGAAAATGAACTGCTGAAAGAATCACAGTTAATAAATAGAAGAAGTCTCAAACCTAGTTCTCCTGACTTTAGTATTCATGTAGTCTTCACAAGAATGTAATGAAAGAAAGATTTAAAATTTAAAGTTAACATTTACCTGAGGAACACTCCACTGCCACTGTCCTGGTAAATACTGTGTAGTGGCCTAAAATGAAATAAAAGAAAACAAAAACTCACTCAGATTATAAACAAGGGTTAAAATTGGATATCTACAGGCAAAAATATGAAGTTATATCCTCACACCATACACAAAAATGAACTCAAGCCATATACAAAAATTAACTCAAAATGGATCAGAGACTTAAATGTAAGAGCAACAATTATAGAACTCTTAGAAAAAAAAACAGGTGTAAATGTCTGTGACCTTGAATTAGGAAACGTTTTAAAAATTATGACTCCAAAAGCACAAACAACAAAGCAACAAGAAAAAAAAGTAGTTAAATTAAGATTTCATCAAAACTCTAAAAAACTTTTGTGCAAGTGAAAATACAACCCACAGGATGAAAGAAAATATGGAAATTATATCAAGAATGTATAAAGAACTCTTACAGGGCCGGGTGCAGTGGCTCATGCCTGTAATCCCAGCACTTTGGGAGGCTGAGGTTGGCGGATCACTAGGTCAAGAGATTGAGACCATCTGGCCAACATGGTGAAACCCCGTCTCTACTAAAAATACACAATTAGTTGGGCATGGTGGTGTGCGCCTGTAGTCTCAGATACTCAGGAGGCTGAGGCAGGAGAATTGCTTGAACCCGGGAGTCAGAGGTTGCAGTGAGCTGAGATCGCGCCACTGCACTCCAGCCCGGCACCTGGCAAACAGAGTGAGACTCTGTCTCAAAAAAAAAAAAAAAAAAAAAAAAAAAAAAAGAACACTTACAACTTAATAATCAAAAGGCAAGTAACCTAACTTAAAAACAGCCAAGTGATATGAATAGACTTTTCTCCAAAGAAGATATACATATGGCCAATAAACACAAGAAATAATTCTCAACACTACTAGCCTTCAGAGAAATAAAAATAAAAACAATAATACAACACCACTTCATACCCACTAGGATGGCTTTAATAAAAAAAAGTAGATTGTAAGTGTTGATGGGCATGTGGAGAAATTAGGGCCCTCAAAATCTGCTGGTAGGAATGTAAAATGGTGCAGCCTTTTGGAAAATAGTCTGACATTTCTTTAAAAGGTTAAACATAGAGTTATCATATGACCCAGCAATTCCACTTTAGTTATAAGACCTAAGAGAAATAAAAATATATGCCTACATAAAAATTTGTATGTGAATGTCCATGGCAGCATTATTTATAACAGTCAAAAGATAGAAACAACTCAAGTGTACATCATCTGATGAATGTATAAATGAAATGTGGTATACAGTGCAGCCATATAATTGGATATTATTCAAGAATGAAGTACTGAGACATGCCATCACATAGATAAATCTTCAAAACATTATGCTAAATATAAGAAGCCAGTCACAAAAGATCTCATATTGCATAATTCATTTTATACAATATATCCACAATAGGCAAATCTAGAAAAACAGGTAAGTAGATGACAGGTTGCCTAGGGTTGGGATAAGGGGGAAAAAAGGAGTATCTGCAACTACTCAGCTCATCCACTGTAGTACAAAAGGAGCCACAGACAATAAATAAACAAATGTGGCTGTGTTCCAATAATGCTTTATTTACAAAAACAGTCTGCTGGCTGGAGTTTGGTCTGCAAATCATAGTTTGATGCCCTTGCTCTGGACCAAAATGGTTTGGCATTATAGTTCACTTATCCCCAATTTCTTACTAGAATTAATGAAGAATCCTGGTTAACTGAAAGAGGATGTCATAACATATAATAAACCACAATATATTATTTACTTTAATATAAATTATGTGGAAAACTGACATATGTTAACATTTAAAACCCAACTTGCATCCAATACCTATATCTTACTTGGGGAATTATTGCTAAAGACTTTTTAGATTAAATGTTAGCCAGGGGAACAAAACTGACCTAATTATATTTGGTAAAAGGAAGCAAAGAGTCCATTTTCTTGTATGACATTGTTTATTTCTGTTGTATAAAAAGAGAGGCATGATGTCAGTAATATGGCTGACCAGAGATGCCTGGCATTCATTTTCCACTGGCTCCCTGCCCTGCCACAAGAAAGGACTAAGGCAACAAATAAACAGCTACAATTTGACAGGAGCATCAAAGGGAGAGTGCTGGAGTGCAGCAGGGGAGTGGAGACACACTTGTGGTTATTGCAAATCCAGGAGTGCAGCCTGGAGCCACTCAGCTTCTGCAACTCCTTCTCTCCTGATAGGATTGGATCTGCCTGGAGTTCTGCAGTTTCTCATTGCAGGGAAAAGGTAAGCAGAAGATCCCCACCAGACTGCATTGCTACTGCAGACATCTACACTCCTTGCAACAGGAGAATGCCACAGTCTCACAGTTTGGAGAGCTGCTGGGAATTTGTGGCTGTATTGCCCCAAATTAGGAGTACAAAGTGTGTATTCCCCACCCTCTCCACCCCACCCTGTGAGCCAAGCTGCTGCAGCATGATAGCATCTCTAGGCCATAGCCACCTCTGAAGTGCTCCCTCTTCTAGGGGGCCAATAGCTATTGCATGTCTCCAGCACTGGGGTTCCATTTTCATTCTGCCAAGTCCATACCAGTGGCTGAACACAACCCCAGCAGCATGGAACCTGAGGCTGAAGATTGGCTGATTCTGGTCCTGTACTGCAGGGAAACCAACTTCTGTTGCCTTCACTTCCAGCTAGAGGGACAATCTGGCTGTCTTGCCCAGGTTGAATCCACTCTTGAGCTGGTCCAACTGCTGCAATCCCTTGAGCAAGAGAGGTCCTCAATCCTCATAGCAGCTGAAATGCTCCCAGGACAGAATGGTTACACAACTGCATACAGGGCTGAGAAACCACCCAGAGGTGCCTCATGCTCTGCAGATAAGCCTCTGATCTGCCCTGTGTATGGAATTAGAGCCCAAGAAATAGCTCTGGAAACTTCCCCTGGCAGAAACGTCCCCAGGAGAGTGGGCGTGGCTCAGGCCTAAGAAATGGCCTCATGGCCACCCCTCCAGAAGACACATCCCTAGGACAGCTGAGCAGCCTTGAGCCTATGTCCCAGGCCTGAGAAGTAGCCCGATAGTCCACTTTCAGTGGGCATGATCCCAGGCCGACCAAGTAGCCCTGTGCCTGTATCCTGGGGCTATGGAACAGCCCTCACAGAAACATTTCCAGGCCAGGTGATTCACCCTGTGCCTATGTCCCAGACTTGAGAAATAGCCCCATGGGCCACCTCCAGCAGACATGCCCCTTGGCCAGGTGAGCAGTTGTGTACCTGCACCCAAGCTGGAGAAATAGCCCTTGACAAACATATCCTTAGCCAACTGAATGGCCATGCAGCTGTGTTGCAGGCCTGAGAAACAGTCCCATGGGTTGCTTCCAGCAGACACACCCCCAGGCCAGCCAAGGAGCCATGTGCCTGCATACCTAACCTCAGAAACAGCCCCAAAGACTGCCTCTGGTGGGCACTACCCCAGGCTGGCTGAGAAATTACATGCCTGTGCTCTCAGCCAGAGTAACAGCCTTGTGGCCCCAAGCCCAGTGAGCCAGACTTACCATGATCATGTATACAACCCTGACCTGAGCAACAGCCCAGCAAGCCCACCCCTGGCAAAGTCCCATCACCATTGTCACAGACTTTCTTGTCCTAGATCACTGAGAATCCTGCAAATAAAACCAGAGAGGATTACAGCTTGAGACTACACAGAGACTACACTAGTGGGTCCACCTAGAACCAAGGCCAATGCACCCCACTGAACCAACACCCCAAGACCCATTCATGGAAATAAGTCTTCCCCTATGAAAGCTACTCCAAATTTAAAAAGGTGACTTTCGTACCAGATGTGTAGAAATCAATGTAGGGACACATCAACCATCAAGGAAACATGTCACTTCTAATGAAAACAATAATTCTCTTTTAACAGACCCCAATCATACAGATATATTTATATGTATTTCATAATGCCAGAAAAAGAATTCAAATAATAATCTGAAGGAAATTCAGTGAGACACAAGAGAATACAGATAGATAATTCAACAAAATCATGAAAACAACTCATAATTTGAATGAGAAATTTAGGAACGAGATAGATATCCAAAAAAAAAAAAAAAAAAAACCAAACAAAAAAAGAACACAGATATCCTAGAGCTGAAGAAATCAATGAATGAAATAAAAATGCAACCAAGAATTTCAATAATACACTAGACTAAGAAGAAGAAAGAATTTCTGAACTTGAAGGCAGGTCTTATGAAATAACACAGGCAGAAAAAAAAAAGAAGAATGAAGAAAACCTGCAGGATTTATAAGATACCATGAAGAGGATAAATATTCATTCATATAATGGGCACTCCAGAAGGAAAAGAGAAGGCAAAAGGTGAGAAAAACGTGTTTTCATGAAAGAATAACACATTTATTTTTTCATTTTAACAAGAATAATTTTTTGTTTTGAGACGGAGTTTCGCTCTCTTTACCCAGGCTGGAGTGCAATGGCGTGATCTCGGCTCACTGCAACCTCCACCTTCCGGGTTCAAGCAATTCTGCCTCAGCCTCCTGAGTAGCTGGGACTACAGGCGTGCACCACCATGCCCAGCTAATTCTTGTATTTTTAGTAGAGATGGGTTTCACCTTGTTGACCAGGATGGTCTCGATCTCTTGACCTCATGATCCACCCGCCTTGGCCTCCCAAACTGCTGGGATTATAGGCATGAGCCACCGCACCCGGCCATTAAAAAGAAGAATTTTAAAAGCAGCAAGAAAAAAGTGTCAAGTCACAATTAAAGAAATCCCTGAACGATCCAAGATGGCTGATCACTAACATCTCAGGATTGCAGCTCCCAGTGAAAGCGCAGAGAATGAGAGGACGCCACACTTTCAGACAAATTTTTGTTGCTCACAGAGCAGAAGATTCCCAGTGGAGGAGCCGCACGGGTCACCAGCGCGTCTCTTGTGGCCGGCGCAGCAGTTTTGCCGGCACCTCAGCGTTGCAGCTCTTGGTGCAGAGTAAACGGGACTGGTTCCCCTTCTGACTGATGTTTGGAGCTCCGGGAAGGCAGAGTCACCTATTATGG